AGCAGGAAAGGTGGTTTTATCTTGCTGAAACACTCTAACTACCACTTTGCAAGATCTGGCTGAGCTGGGTGCGAGGAAAGCAAGAGAGAAAGGCGAGACTGTTACAGAAAACAACCTTGGTTAGCAGGCTGCAGGCTGACAGTTAGTGTATTGGCCATCATCCGGGGCTGCTTATCTTGCTCCATGGCTGGCAACAGAAAGGGAAAGCTTAGCAGATACCAGAGTGCTTTTTACTGTGCCCAGACTTCCCTGCGGCCCTAGTGGCTGAAGCCAGAACTGCATTAAAATAAATGGGAAGATGTTCGGCTGGATGCAGCATGAGGCTGGCTTCAAGGGCCCTCCAGCTGACTCCCCTCCCCCGAATGTTGTCCCCCCCCCACAGCCGCCCTCTGCGGGGGCCCTGCATGTGACACCCCTGTCACTACCCCTCACCCAAGCATGTGGTAGAGATGGCAAAATCTCTCCCGCTGGAGACATGTGGGCCTTCTGATAAAACAACGTCCTGTGGAAAAGTGGCACACTGTTTGTTTGTTTGTGGGTGGAGGAGGGGGAGGGGCTGTGGCACAGTGGGGGAGCCAAGGCCCTAGGTCCAATCCCCAGGTTCTGGAGAGATGCTGCCATTCAGAATAGACAGTGCCGACCCCGAATGGCCGATGGTCTGGTTCAGGCTTAGGCGGCTCCGTGTGTTCATGTGAGACGCCGGAAGCCAGAAAGTGCCGCTGTGTCCTTAGCTGGCTTTAGTTCCTCTGGGTCCAGGCACCTGCTGGTCATTAGCCCCGACTATTTATCTTTGCTGCTATTTGTCAGTCTTGGTGTGAGCTAGCTCACAGCAACTCAGCTTAGAGGGAACACTGGTGCCGACCCCGAGGGACCGATGGTCTGGTTCAGGATCAGGCGGCTCCATGTGTTCATGTGAGACGCAGGAAGCCAGAAAGTGCCGCTGTGTCCTTAGCTGGCTTTAGTTCCTCTGGGTCCAGGCACCCGCTGGTCATTAGCCCCGACTATTTATCTTCGCTGCTCTTTGTCAGTCTTGGGGGAGAAGTCTAACGGTTAGGGTCAATGCTCCCTCCTAAGCCGTGGAGTCTTGTGAGCAAAAATTCTACTTTGTGAGCTACTGGCATTAAAGTTGTGAGCGAGCGATTTGGCTGCTGCATCAATCAGTTTGCTCTGGAGCCCTCCTCCCCGAGCTGAGACAAAAATATGTGAGCTGGAGGCTCAAAAACTGTGAGCTAGCACACGCTAACTCAGCTTAGAGGGAACACTGGTTCACATTCAGGTTTTCCATCTCTGGGTGGGGCCTAGGGAGTTCCCAGAATTACGACTGTTCTCCAGACTACCGAGATCAGTTTCCCTGGAGAGAACAGATGTTTTGGAGGGTGGACCTTATGTCACTATACCCTGCTGAGGCACCACCCCCTATTATATGCTTGTAAATTATACGAAACATACACTCAAATATGCAAGGGAAACTGAACTCAGTAACACTGTAAGGTAGTGTGAAGTGTCTGGAATACTGCAGTGAAAGAATGAAGAGAATATCTTGTTGAGTACACAAGAAACTGCAAATTAAAACACTTGTGACAGTAGCTGGCAACTGCAGAGTTCAGGGAATGTTATGACTACCTTTGATCACGACCTGGTGTTCAGGCTTTCCA